ATGTTTTATAGATAGTCCTTATTTAATAGCCATAGATGGAACTGGCAACACAGTCATTGAGCATAGTAGTTGTTAAATGAAACCTCTAGTGTACATATGATTTTACTCCAACTTTGTTTTGAATAACCAGCTCAAATTTCCTTAATCAATTTGTATGTAGGGGACAGAGCAGGCCAAATAAAGAAAAACAATCAGTAAAATTTAAATGAGTGGAAGAGTATCCATAATGCTTAATGAAAAGACACATTTCACTTTATAGTATAGTATAGACTCACTGGAGAAGAGCCTAATGCGGGGAAAGATTGAGGGCAAAAGAAGAATGGGACAGAGAATGAGGTGGCTGGATGGAGTCACCGAAGCAGTAGGCATGAGCTTAAATGGACTCCAGAGGATGGTAGAGGACAGGAAGGCCTGGAGGAACATTGTCTATGGGGTCGCAATGGGTCGGACATGACTTTGCAACTAACCACAAAGTACAGTGTAATATAGTATTCCATTTACATTGGTCAAAAAGCATGATTTTTTTAAAAAAATACTACAAAATAATAATACAGAGCCTATATAGGCCTATAGCAAGGTGAGAATACATAGCTGGGCAATGTTGACTTTTATTCTGCTGTTAGCATTCTTGGAACAAGAAAATTTCAAACTTAAACCAGGAATGTGTCATACGATTAGGAGATGGTCGCAGCCTCTGACACTGTCTGCTTTGTCTCTCCTTCATCCCTTGTGCTGCTCTTGTATTTCTCCAGGGGTGGGCTTTCATAAAGAATTGCACCGTTTGGAGGCAAAGGAAGGTCTGAAAGGACGGAAATTACAAAAAGCTCTGGAAAGTTTTGCCTGGAACATCACCGTTCTCAAGGTAATGTGAAGTTGTAGCCCTTTGTAATTCCACCATTGAGACTTCAGTCATGAGAAATAAAGCAGAGGAACAAACATTTCCAGGACTGCACAAAATATCTGAAGTGAAGTAGGCTCCACACAATGTTGGCAAAATAGGAAACATGCCTAACTAAAAAGAAGTCAGAACATAATCCACTGGGGTAAAATAAATTGGGTGACTTAAATATAACAGGGATGTATATTATAACGGGGATGTTGAATATGGTGTCTTTTGCAAACCATCCCCATTCTGGCCATAATATTTTGCAAAATTGCGTGGAATTTTGCCATTCATGAGAAGTCTCCACAGTTCATTATGTGCCTCACAGCTGTTAGAAGAGCAATGGAACTTTTATGAATCAATGACAACATGGTAAATGGTTTTGTGTACTAATTATGGGCATGGATCTGCACTGCTCTCCAGGTAGATGAAGCATTGGACTGGGATGACATAGCTCTGGGAGCCTTTTTCAGCTATGTCTAGAAATCATATATCCATAAGAGTACTCTGCTAATTCTTGGCATGATTAGCAAGCTGCATAACTGGCATGCTTTCCAGAACATGCCTACCAAAATCTAGAAAAGATTTAAGAACACATTCCTAGATGTTCCTCCCAAATCTTGCTCAGGATATCCCTCCTATCTGTAATCTGCAGGAAAACATTGGGTAAGGTCATTCTATAGCAAAGGGTGTAAATACAGTTTTGCATCTCTTTCCCAGGCTAAACAAATGATGCTATTCTTACCCAGTGCCTAGAGCAGGGGGTCTCCAACCGTGGCCACTTTAAGCCTGGTGGACTTCAACTCCCAGAATTCCACAGCCAACAAAGCTGGCCTAGAGTGTTTGAGGTTCTGAATTGGGAAGACTCAGGTAGGACTCAAGATGAAGAGTCTCTGAGTTTTGGGATCGTCTGAATATGGAGAGCTGCTCATTCTAACTCTTGGGCACTCCCTTGGGTAGAGGTAGCACTCCCTTGGATAGAGTTGGTGCACAATCTGGGCGTTCTCCTGGACTCACAGCTCCCGCTTAAGAAGCAGACGGCAGTTTTAGCTTTGGAGTTATTTTGTACAAATTCACCTTGTGTGCCAGTTGCACCCATTCCCAAACTGGAAAACTCTGTACATGGTCACCCATGCCTTAATCCCTTTCCATTTACACTATTGCAACCTGCTGCAATAGGAGGCTGCTCTTGAATGTCATCCGGAAACTTTTATTGATCCAGAAGCATTGATTGTTACCCACCTGAGATTGCTTATGTATTGTAATATGATCATCCATATATATTTTTAAAAAATAAATAGTAATAAATAATGAGTTTAAATAATAAGAGTGGTGACACAAGAAAAGGCAACTGCATTGTTAACTATAGATGTAGCATGGATTTGATTAAAAAGAAAGGCAAACTGACAGAAAAATTCTGCTCACCTAGGGAGAAGTTGTTTTTTGATAGTGGTAGTGAGATTCATAGGATTAGGAGGAGGATTTTTTTCTAGACTTATACAAGCCTGGAAAAGACTAATCCTCCTTTGTCATGCCTTGATTTTAATTGGGCCTCCTGTGGTTGTCCTTTAGAAAAATAACAACAAACATTTTAAATGCATTCAAATATTGCAATCTCTCTCCTGCAAGCTGCTTTTCCTAGAATCAAAAGTTGGCACATACTGCCATCTTATGGTCACTGGATATTTATGTACTCATTTGTGGAAGAAAACTAGAATGAAATGGAACAGAATAGAATAGAGCTGGAAGGGACCTGGGAGGTCTTCTTGTCCAGCCCCATGCTCAAGCAGAAGAAACTATACCATTTCAGATAAGTGACTGTCTAGTCTCTCATTAAAAACCTTTAGTGATGGACCACCCACGATTTTTGAAGGCAAATTGTTCCCCTGGTTAATTGTCCTCACTGTTGTACAATTTCTCCTTAATTTCAGGTTGCTTTTCTCTTTGATTAGTTTCCAACCATTGTTTCTTCTTGCCTTCTGGTACTTTGGAAAATAATTTGACCTCCTCTTCTTTGTGGGAGTCCCTCAAATACTGGAATACTATTATGTCAGCCCTAATTTTTCTTTTCTTTAGACTAGCCAAACCCAGATCCTGCAGCCGTTCAGGTGTTTTAATCTCCAGGCCTTTGATCATCTTAGTTGCTCTTCCTGAAGTTTTTCCACAGTCTCAACATATTTTTATACTATGGTGACCAAAATTGGTTGCAGTATTCCAGGTGTGGTCTTATTAGGGTTTTATAAAGTGATACTAATACTTCACATGATCTTTATTATATGCCTCTGTTTATACAACCCAGGATTTTATTAGCTGTTTTGGCGGCGGCTGCATACTGCTGGCTCATATTCAAGTGATCATCCACTAGGACTCCAAGGTCCCTCTCAGAGTTACTGTTTTTGAGCCAGGTCTCACCTAATCTGTACTTATACCTTTGATTTTTCCTGCCTAAATGTAAAACTTTGCTTTTCTCCACATTAAAATTCATTTCGTTTGGTTCTTTTTGGATTCTGGGCTTGTCTTCTGGGCTGTTCCTGCCAGTTTAATGCCATCTGTAAATTTGATGAGTTCTCCTTCTATTTCCTCATTTAAGTCATTTATGAAGATATTGAAGAGTACTGGGCCTAAGATGGAGCCTTGTGGTACCCCACTGCTTGCTTCTCTCCATGTGGATGTAGTACCAATAAGGACTACTCATTGAGTACTGTTTTTGATCTGTGGGTCACATTTTTAATGTAAGAAGTAGATGTTTAAAATATGTTTCCCACTGGAATCTTTTATTTTCTTCCCCAACAATCAGATTAAAATTGCTTTTTAAACTCAAAGTGAGAAGACAATACATGTTTCTTTAGAAGTGTATGAAGAGAATCTAAACCAAATGTCAAGCATTATAGTAGTAGGGAGTTGTTCGTTTTTGTATAGAATTACTATTCCATGCAATTCCAACCAATGTAAAAGGTTTGTCATCATTATATGTTTTGATTATTTTTTCATTTTAATTTTCAAAAACCAAGTAGCAAATCTTTAATGTCATTTTAATAAATCTTTAATATATGTTTGGCAATACTTAATTGTTGTTGCCAGCTGTTCCCCCCCCCCCATTTCTAGTGCTATCTAAAATATGGGCCAAGATTTAAAGTAATAAAGATAATTATGTTTTAACTGTATTTATGCTAAAAGTGGATGTAACACACTAGTTAAATAAAAAATGGATAGTTTGAAATAATTTTGTAGTACTAACTGAATAACATGCACTATCAAAATAGGACAAAATTCACCTATGGCAAATGTTCAAGTTTGAGTCAAAAAGGAAGGAACAAATCAACATTGAGATAAATCAATAGTTTTCTTCAACAGGCATTGTACTCCTCACATTTTTTATTATTGTACTGCATGGAATTCTCTATCAGAGAGAGGGTTATTGATTGGGTTTTTTCTTTTTGCATTTTCTAACAGCATTCACTGCACATAACTGAGATTTTTATTTCAGTGTAAAGGTATTGTATTGAAAGCAGGTGAGAAACAGGCTTGCTGTACTGAATCTAAGTCTACCACTTTATCTTCAGGGCTGAAGGTTGAAAAACATGTTCAACGGTTTTTAGAAATATAATATATATGTTGCCTAGAATTATTTTCATGATGGAGATAGAAACAAATATTACTTAAAAGATAAATAAGTTATTATGATTGAGAAGGGCATACGTGGGAGATGGACAGATGGTGGTGGAAGTGATTAATATATTGCAATTCAAAGTTTTACCTTTATATACAGTATGTATAGGCAATAATGCAATGGATCTTGTGTAATGATTTCACAAGACATGTTTAATTATTTTGGTGTCAATTTTCATAGCCTTGAATACTTCTGTTTGTCAGTATTTTTGATGCCCCTTACATAATATTTGTCCCCAATGCACATAACAGGTTTGCAATTTAAATTCTATCCAGGTTGTTAAATATGCAAGTCTGAAGTTAAGTTTTAAAAGTACATTTGTAGGTTAATTCTTTTAAGCACTTCTATTAAGCAAATCATTTACAGCAGGCAACAGAGGCAAAGTGAAAAGCTAAAGCAGTATTTAACTTGCTGATAAGTCTGTATGTCTGTAATGAAATGCAAGCTTTAAACTTGAAATGCTAATACAGATAATCTTTTGTCTATCTTATACACAGAAGAACATTCTTCATATGGCCTGAAGTATTCTCTTTATTATAAATGCACACATACCTGAGAATTACCCCTTGCAGTATTTCCTCTTTCTTCTTTGACAAAGTATACAAATGTTGTCCACTATGTGCATATTTATTTATTCATTTATTTAGCAATAGCAAATGCACTTCAACTTATATACCGCTTCATAGTGCTTTTACAGTCCTCTCTAAGTGGTTTACAAAGTCAGCATATTGCCCCCAACAATCTGAGTCTTTATTTTATCCACCTCAGAAGGATGGAAGGCTGAATCACCTTGAGACGGTGAGATTTGAACTGCCAAACTTTAACTAGCAGTCAGTTGAAGTAGTACTGCAGTCTAACCACTGTGCCACCTCTGCTCTATTTAATTTATATCCTACTCAAAGCAATGAACATATTTAATTCTCCAAATTTCCCCTCAACAACAACCCTATAAGGCAGTGGTGGGTTCCGGATCCTGTTCCAACTGGTATGGTTGAAACGGGCTTGGTGGTGTCACATGGACGCGTGTACCACGCGCATGCATCTTAGCGCCTCTGTGACATTCCAGCTGCTCAGTGGAGCATCACTCAGACGCTGTACGTGCCATGCACAGAAGCGCAGAAGCTTGAAAAAACTGGTAAGGAGTTCAGGCGGGTGGGTGGGCCCTCTGGAGCACCGTACTGGAATGGTATACGATGAACTGGGCAGGCTCCGGTACACCCGTACCAGGGCATACTGCCTGCAACCCACCACTGCTATGAAGTGAGTTGGGTTAAGAGAGAATGACTGGTCCAAGGTTCACTCCGTTGGTTTTTATGCCTAAAGCGGGACTAGAACTCAATGATTTGAGCCTGGGGAGCACTTGCATTGAGCAAAATTATATATGAGCAATGTTCCATTCCCTACCATAAGTATTTCTCATTCATTTCCTGCTGCTGCTGTTCTTGATGATGTCTCAAGTTACCAGACTAAAAATGTAATTAAAAATACAGTGCTCTGGGTTTTTTAACTTCACATTTTCTTTCCTAATCATTCTAACCATTGTTATTTTCTCATACCTTTCTCCCGCCCCCCTCCCCTCCTTAGGGCCAAGCTGATTTGCTCAAGCACTCCAAGGCTGAGGCTCTAGATACACTATGGCAAATCCACAATGCAGCCCAGTCGTGTGGCATTGGACGGAATGGAGCTGCCTCTCCTGACCTCTTCCGCAACCGAGCTGCTCTTGACCCCATCCCAGAAGCTGAAGGAGCCTGCGAGCCAGGATCTTCCTGACTGGAAAGGGCTAAGACTTTGGGGACCTGTGGGATTTGTGGACACAGATTGCCATGTATAGACAATGTGGCAGGTGCTTACATGGAGTAAGAGTTGTCTTTAATCCTGGGAAGGCAAATGAGAAAATGTCAATCAATTTGCAAGCTTTTGTGTCTAGAACAACAGGTAGGGCTCCCTTATTGCAAGATTTAAAAAACACCCCAAAAAGAAAAAAATTAGGTGACAGAAAATATGGTTTTTACCTGGGAAATAGCATATGTGAAAGCTAGAGATTTTTGACTTATTTTTTGACACACTGAAATTAACAGAAACCTCTGTGTGATTTCAGCAGAGTTTCAGGAGCCAACAGCTAACAAAAAAATATCTCCCAATGACGTGGGACAGCAGCAAGTAGGCCTGATGCAGATCCTTTGAAGAAAGTTTTGGGTGTAAGGAGCTGGCATGTTCTGGAGTTGCTTGCTTGAGTCTCCTAGCAAGGATAGTGATAGACTCTGATGGTACTGGCCAGGCGGAGTTCCTGTCTAATATTGTTCAAGGATCCTTGGTTGAAGATCTATTGAAAACATGAGCCTTACTGGTTATGAGTTCTTGCAAATCCTCTAATGAATGAGAGAGAGAAAGGGCTTGTCTTTGGATCTTCTTGAGATGGCAATAATAGCAATTTATCTTTCTGGTCCACTCCAACCTCCCTGAAGTGTTATTTGTAGTTTTCCTCAAAACAGTTTAGCAGCTGAAATAGGAGTGGTTCCAATGTCCAATGATGTTGGGCTACATCTCCCACAATCCATGAACACTGGTTAGGGTGGCTGAGGATAATGGAAATGCAGTCTAACAACATCACAGAGAGGTGAGAGAGAGAGCCACTGGTCTTCCTTGCTTTCGTTTTGTTTTGTTTCCCTCCTGCAGGGCTGAAATGAAGGGTGTGGGGTGAATGGTGGTGGAGAATTCTTAAGATTTTCTGATTTGAATTCGGTTGTTGTCCTAATGGGAAGTTTAGGGTTGCCATTTTCATTTCCCCTCCAAAAAATCAAGGGGAAAAAAGGAGGGAAACTGAGGTAGTCAGACTGGGAAAATGAAACCAGTTAATCTTGCAAAGATTTATGTTGATCATAAATCAGTATGGAGATAAAATCCAAATGATAAACACCAAACCACTGTTTCTTCAATTGTATTCTCATTGCAGTCACATCATTTTCTGTAGAAAATTCAATTAAAAGAAGCTAATGCTTAATGTTTATTTTGAGAAATGATACACAACTCTTTAAATTTGAATATTTTTCAAGGTTTTTCAAGATTTGGAAATTGTAGAGATGAAAATTGCCTTTGTGAAAAGCAGGATTTTGGTTGTGTATCTTGGTCTCTACATTTTTCTTTGGGGCTTGGAAGGAGTTAAAGTTGCATTACTTTTTTTTTGCCCACCGTAGAAGATTTGTTCTGGAATTAATGGGCTGGATTTTGTTGACAATAAACCCTGAGCTTCTCTTTTGGCTGTTCTGTTCCTTGTATTAATGGGTCATCCTTGATGTTAGAACCCTACACTAACATAACAGAATCAAAAGTAGTTTATTAATAATAGCCACTGCGTGGCTCCTTAGACAAGGAATTATAAACATGGTACTTCTGTGTTAAACATTCAGGTATATTGCTTAAGCACCTGTACAGATCCCATATTGGAACATTCTAAAACAGAACACTTAGGGGATAACCAGATGGAGAGATAACATCAAAGAGATTAGTTAGCATTAGTTAGCTGTGATTGACGCTGCCAGAAGAGCAAGAACCAGAACTTTGTATCTCCCTCAACACCTGAAACAGAAGTAAAGAAGAATAGTTAAAAGAAAGTTTAAAGAACAGTTGCTGGAACTGGATATGTCTAGTTTAATGAAAAGAACGACTAGGGGAGACATGATAGCAGTATTCCAATATCTCAGGGTCTGCCACAAAAAAGAGGGAGTCAAACTATTCTCCAAAGCACCTGAGGGTAAAACAAAAAGCAATGGGTGGAAACTAATCAAGGAGAAAAACAACTTGGAACTAAGGAGAAATTTCCTGACAGTTCGGAACAATTTGCCTCCAGAAGGTTTAAGTGCTCCAACACTGGAAGTTTTAAAGAAAAGATTAGATTACCATTTGTCTGAAGTGGTGTGGTTTTCCTGCCTAAGCAGGGGGTTGGACTAAAAGACCTCCAAGGTCCCTTCCAACTCTGTTACTATATTCTAAGACCATCATCTACTACATGTGTGCAAAGCAAGTTCTACCTTTCCCTTCAGTTCTCCTTCAGCACATTTCTTCTCTTTTTATTGTTGTACATTTCCTTATATTTCAAAAATCTATAGTGAGGCACAAACAAAACTTAACACTTCTTGAGATGCTTGGCATAGGAATTATGGAGGCTTAGCCTTTCATTTTGGCCTTCTAGTTTAAGCTCATTAGAACAACATTCCACAAACACATAAAATTGAGCATTAAATTGCTGTCTTAGGAGCATAACACTCTTTGCCTTTGTTGTTTGGGAGAAGAGATACTTTGGATGTTTGTTCTCATTGACAACAACTTATTAAATAGGAAAGGCAGAATAGATCTTCTCACCTTATTGTCTTATTACGTGAGGGAGCACTTCATTCTATTGTATTGATTTCAGAAATACATTCCACCCTCAGTAAAGATGTAGTTTCGTTCCATTTGGTGTCATCTAATCTAATGGTAACCCATTCATGCATATATGTGGCAGTGGCTATGCTACATATATTCTGTCTCAACCCCAAGATCTGGAATTCTACTCTTTGAATCAGAGATAGAAACAATATCTTTGATTCCAGAGTGATAGGTACAGATCCTTCCTTCAACATACATTTGATGTCTCCTGTTACTTCCTTGGAAGAACTTAATAGACCAATAAATGCTTTCCACAGTCTCTTCTGGTCCTAACAACATCAGTGTGAAATTACTTGCCATGGTGTTTCAATCCAATCCAAGCCTTCTGAGAAAGAAAAGAAATCACTATGAAAAGGTATTATGGAACCTGTAAAAAGTAATCCTCCTACTGTGGCTTCTTTTTTTAGAAATTTATATTCCCTTCTCGGTATTCTTTTGATCTTTGTAAGTTCAACAACTATACATAAGCCATAAAATTCTATATAAAAGCACTTCTTGCCTTCATTTCTGGAAAAGTCGGCAAGAAATGTTATCCTATCTCTCTTGCTAACTTGCTTCTGGACTGTCCGCAGTGTTCTATATTTGTGCTTTACAACAAGTTTCACAGGTTAAGCTTTTATGTGGCTCAGCCTGATGAACCTGTAAAATATTTCTTTCATGGAAGAAATGTAGATATGTAATTCTCCGAGAGTCTTCTTATCCCCTTGAATTTTGTCCTGTTTTTGTCTGCTTTGATGGGTGACAAATCAAAATCTTCTACATGAGTGATGGCAAATGCCTCCTGGACAAATGGATGGCTCATTGTAATGACATCAAAATACACAAGTGATATTTGAATATTCCACACGGTACTCAACATTCTGTACACTTCAGCTAACAGGAATTTCTTCCTGTGGTCAAAGTAGGCCATCAAACCAAATAATTGTTTCACCAGGCAGTATTACACAATATTTTCTATATTTAGAGAATTGACTCTTTGGCATCCAGGTTAAATACTCCCTCTAGCTTTGCACCAGGTCCAATTACAGATAGTCCTTGATTTACAACCCCAAATGATCCCAACCTTTATGTTGCTAAGCAAAGCAGTTGCTAAGTAAATTTTGCCCCATTTTGCGACTTTTTTTGCCATAGAATGAATGAATTATGTGAATGCAGTTGAATGAATCATGCAGTCATTAAACAGATCTATCTTCTCCCATTGACTTTGCTTGTCAGAAACCAACTGAGAAGGTTACAATTGGTGATCTCACCTGACTCCAGGAGAGCCATAAATATATGCCAGTTGCAAAGGTGTGTGTGCTCTACACCATTGTCTCAGAAGGGGATGTACTCTTGTTTCTTCCCAATTGGGACAAATCTCTAGTTGCCTCCTTCAACATCAAAAGAGTGATCTGATGGCTATATCATTGTTCCTTATCCTTCTGTTGTGGCCAATATTGTCATGACTCTTCCCATGGTCATTCAATACTTAGCTGCAGTTATCATTTTAGATGCTTTTTCCTCCTCTTTAAGCAATTCTTAGGGGACTTAATAACATTAGCACAGCTATAGTAAATCTATCTCAGTAGGCATCAAAGGGCATTCTATAAAAGCTATTGCTTTATTTAGGAACCTTTAACTGCTAGACATTTGTAAGGCAATTTACTTGGTCCCAATTCTCAACTTTCACCAGCCACTAATGTAGAGACCAGCTGTGAAGGTCGGGTGGTCCCTTTTGATATACTGTGATGCCCCTACACTTCCTAGACTGATCATTTTCTGTTTCTGTTCACCTGGAATAAACTTGTTAATAATCTGTATGTTGAAGAATCCTGAAAGTAAATTCTATGCAAATGCATTAGTTATATATGAATGAACATATAATACTGAATGAATCACTTAGAACTGTGATGGCAAAACTATGGCATGCGTGCCACAGGGGGGATGCAGAACCCTCTCTACGGGCACACCAGCTGTCACCCCAACCCAGCTCCACCATGCATGCACGTGCGCCTCCCACCAGTCAGCTGGTCTTTGGGTCTCATGTGCGGGAGGTGGGGCGCATGTGCAGGGGGCACTCACATTGTATTTTTGGGGTTCACCAATGTGTGTGGACAACCCCCTGTGCCCCATTTTGGGCCTGGGAAGCAAAAATAGGACACATCTTCCTCCATGCCCTGCATGTGCAGGGGGCATTCTCATTTTGGGGGTTGCACATGTGCACGCACTATTCCCTTATGCCCCATTTTGGGGCTGGAAAGCCTCATGAACCAACCTGGAAGTCAAAATGGGTGTGTGTGTGCACAGGGATGCTCATATTGCATTTTGGGGGTTCGCTTGTGCTTTGAGCACTCATCACCAAAAAGGTTAGCCATCACTGATTTAGAAGATCCAGACTGTTCTTTTGTAAATGTAATACCAACAACAGGAATAACATTAAAGGAGGATATGGCTGAAGGCGCCGGTGTTACTTATACTACTTGGAGGACCCTCAACAGGTTGACAGTTGGAATGCCTCAATGTAAAACGAATATGCTGAAGTGAAAGTTCTTACCGGATAACAGCACACTATAAGTATAATCTTTACTGTCATTGTACAAAATAAATACAATGAAATTGGTTAAGTGAATGTAAAGAGATCTAGAGCCTTGCTCATCTGCTGATATGTTGGCTACTCTCAGAAACATGTACCAATAATGAATTAATTTTGGCCAATGACAAAGCAAAGAAGATGTTATATCTAGAGTTATATCTAGATACAGAAGAAGGAGAAATAAAAGAGAGGGAGAGGAGGAGGAGAACAGGAAGAGGAGGAGTACTGGATATCTAAATTTTGCAGTCCAGATATGGCAGCCCTACCTTGAAAACTAAAATGAAGTACAAACGGTTGCATAGAATATAGGGGATAATTGGTTAACTTTCCTAGATATTACTCTATTTTCCCCATTTCCCAGGTTCCAAACTAGATGTGCTTAGGATTGCAACAAGCTAGAAATGCTACAACTAAGTGGAGAAAAGATAACATTTCTTCCTCAATGGTTTATTAGATCTTAGTTTTCTTTTTAATTTTATTTCTTAGTTGTGTTGGAATTAAAATAAGGTCCAGTTCCAATCCAGGAGAAAGATGCTGAAATTAAATGGAGGCAGGCTGCAGGAAAAAAGGTCTCTGTTTATTTGGTAGCAAGAAATGTCAGTGACAGCATAATGTTTCTGGGGTAACTGACAAAATGGTATTGAGAGTAGGTGGGCTTTTATACATTCTTTGGGGCTTTGTGATCATGTACAAGAATGTGTCCTTTAATATTTTAATGGCTATTGCCAGATTCCTATAGGGTCATGTAGGGGTCATGGCTGGCTCTACAGGCAAAAGGAGAAATGTACATCCTAGGTGTTTTGTTTGTCTGAACTAATCTTGTCAGCTTTGGCTCCTAGCCTATTGTGTTGCTTATTTGGAGTTTCTGGTTGCTCTTTGCTTATGAATAGAGTGGCCCAGTTTTTCTAAATGGATACAAAAAATCCATTCGAAAAGACTAGTCTCTTCATGGTTCAGCTTGAGACTGTTTTTCTATAGCAGGAAGATTGAGGCTGCTTTCTGCCTTTGAAAATGGCTCTCCTCTGAGATAAGGGAAGAAGAGAGGGATAGGAAAGAAGGTAAGGGAGGGAGAGAGGAGAAGAGAAATGAGGAATGGTAAGGGGAAAGAGGAGAAGGAGAAGGAGAAGTAGAGAAGAGACGGATGACAGAGGGAAGAAAGGAGATAGGGAGGGGAGGAGAGAGGGAGAAGAAAGTGATGGATAAGGTACAAATAAAGTGTATGGAGAGCAGAAGAGTCAATAATTGTTTTTTG